CGAAGTGATCCCGATATCGATGACCCAGTGGAGCGCCTCGAACAACAACTCCGAGAGTTGGCCGGTTTGTCCGAGCGGACACGCACTTTGCTTTCTACACGCGGGAACTTCAGGTTCCAATTACGTACGGAAACACGCTCATTAACACGCCACTTTCGACCTGGACGTGTTTCTCGTGCGACTTCTCGGTCGTCAGCATCGTTGACACCGCGTTGAGTACCGCGGCGCTCGCCGGTGACCGGCGCTGAGATATTACCGTATCTCATTAAATTACATACAAAGCATTTAATTTCAATAATCAGAGCACATAATAGCATCCACTGAATTATTTGTACAGTCAATAAAGAGCCAATGAAGTGAGGCGGAAGATACAAGGTGTAGCCGGATCAAAGCATATCCTTGACATGACCGATTCCTTGGAACATTCTAAAATGAAAGTTCGAGTACGGAAATATCGAGGAAGGTCTTGATTCCTAGCGTCTAATATTCTAAGAATATTACTTAATATTAAATAATATTAAGATTAAAAGTGCTAAAATTATGTCGGAGCTGTATCTGACTTTAAATAAAGAGGAACATTTTTTGTCGGAAATACGAGCAGATCATAAAAGCAGTTGCGCGTTCTCAAATTGATTCGTCGAGTAAGTTTAAGAATAGCAACCTTTCGGCTAAAAATAGACTCGTGCGTGACTCGTCGTGAATGACGTCGCTGTGAAATATTTTTCCGGCCCGTTTGAAGAGCGCACGAAGAAACCAAAAAGGGTTCCGATCAAAGAACCAGTCTCCCCCCCCTTCCCTCTCTCTCACCCCCTCTCTCTCTCCCCCTCTCTCTCTCCCCTTTTGTCTTTTTTTCATTCTTCAGATCGCGGTTGCCGGGACACGAATGGGGCACTCCCACGCGCCTCGGACAATCGCGTGAATGATCTTGTTGTCACTCTCGGAGCGACTACCCGCCGGCGTACGACGTTCACAGAAGTAGGAAGCGGTGGCGAGGAGAATAGGGTGCCGCAGGGATTTTGATTCGACCGTTAACGAAAGGGAGAGAGAGAGAGAGAGAGAAACTATCGCTGTCGCGATGACGTACCACCCATGGCATCCCGTTGATCTTAGCCGTTGCGGATTAAAAAGAAGCAGAATTATTGCGTATCGTGACGCCTCTTATCAATCCCCGGTATCTCCGTCAGGTCTCGACTCTTTCTTCCGTCACTTCGTCCGACGCAATCCGACAACGGGCGCGGGCAAAGTTACGCGACGTGGGGCGGATTTGTGCGGATAAAACCGCGCGATCTCTCGCTGATGTAACGATTATTTCTCTCTGCGACTTAGTAGTTTGTCGCACCTTCGCGGAAACTTTTTCCCAGTGGTCTCTCTCTCTCTCTCTCTCTCTCTCTTTCTCACACTTCGAGTCTCTTTCCCGACTGCTGCGGGGGACAGAAGGAGGGGGGCTGCTCTCGCGCTTCTCGATTTCTCGCGATGTTTTATGAAGTTATAAATATATTTACGGTACATCGGAGGCGCGTCACGTATCGGGCGCGATTTTTCCCTGTCGTCGATCTCGTCGTCGCCATCGGCATCTCCGTCCATCGTGGAGACGCCGGTGCCGTTCACCGCGACTTTAGAAAAGCGAAGCCGTCGCCGCCGTGAAACTGGATTTCGCATCGGCGAATCTTTTTCAGCCCGCGATGGAAATTACTTATCTGGATCTCTCGCGGCAATGCTCGCGGATTAACGTTAATTTCACATCGCCGCGTGAACTTCGTTCACTTTACTTATCTCGCTCGCGCGACGACGACTTCCTCGTCTTGCAGTGGAGACTCTTGAGAGACCGTCTCTCTCATAAGCGTAAAGGCCGGCAAAAAGACGGTCCACGATCTACGGTTTTTATGAACTTCACGCGCTTTCTCGACCGAAACGTGCGAGCCGTCTGATATTTATTAACCGAAAAATCATGCCGCCGTCAATGCGGAGCTCTCATGACGAAGAGACCCTTAAGAATATATCGGCCTATAACTCGAAATAATGAAAAATTATGAAAAAATGATAAATTGATCTACATTGTATTTAAAAGTGATACCAAAAGTTTGACAGTGATTCAAAACCTGAGGTCAAAAGTTACTCCACTTTAAAGGAAGTTGTAAGATGAAACGAGTTTGATGAGAATTCATTGAAACTTGCACTGCGTATACATTGAAGTATTACCTAACTCATTATTCGTGCAATTAAAAGAAGATTGACCACTTGAAAGCTGAAAGATATTTGTAACCAAAGTTGAAATTTTTTATAAGCGTTTCTTGAAATTAGCGTACTATTTTAATTTTATTTCTATTTTTAACATCTTCCCAACTAAAAATAAAACTACTGTGTACAAACTACTGTGATATTAAAGACTAATATGCAGACATTATATAAATTTTGGAATTATTGGCCATCTTGTTTCGAAAATACAGCTGTGTAAAGTTTATTTATAGTAGTACTTGAAATATACATACATATGCAAATATTTAAATACCAATATATCTCTTTTTATTATCTATACATCTTCATTGGATCAAGTGATGCATAAATATAACGTTAATAAGAAAGATTAAAAAAAAATATTTTCGTATTTGTAATATTATGTATATATGTATGTCCACCTCAAACGTGACTGTCGTTCACACGCATCAATGCATGCAGAGGCGCATGTTGCAACACACGTCTTGCGATTAGTCACCGTTTATCAAGGCGTGCGCGCGAACTGACGATGCTGACGATGTGACGCTCGGGGAACGCAAGAGCTTTTAGCGCAAATGACGAATTCTTCCGGTGATTGGAAGCAGCGACGTCAGGTCAGCGTTTACGTTTCATCGGACGGTTGCCGGCGACACGAACGGCGATTACAGTACGATTGCTTGGCCTGAAGGTGACGCAAACACGTGAGATGACATAAAGCTCTGCAATGTTCCTTCCGGCTACCGTCGAGGTCCTGGAAATATGTTAGGGTATCGAGAATACAAACAGTGGGAATTCGGCGCGTGAAACGCGTCGCTGAAAGCAGCGCGCAGACGGAACTGACTTTTTCTGATTTTCTCAAAGAGCCTTATGTAAAAAAAGGAAAAATACATACGCTCTCTAGTCGGTTACGTAAATGTTATATTATACGAATATAACACGCATTCCCTCCGTAATTGTTGTTCGTTCGATTGTCGTGGAAGAGAGACATTCGCCGAGTATCTTCCATCGATTGTAACGTGTCTTCAATGTCTGCACGCTTGAGTTGCAATCGGCGTAATTACGATGCATTATTCACAGTGAACATTATCATTCGTGAGTGTAAGACACCGGAAAAGAAGTCGCGAAGCGAAATGTTAGCGGCGCGCCACTTTGTGCGAAAATTGCTTTTAATTCGCGATAAATTACCTCGAAGAATAAACACGCAGCTGGCCGCGGACCAAGTTGAAAAAATGACTTCCGGGAGATTCCTGTGTGTCAAACGCGAGCGAGCGTGTCGTATATACGTGCGTCACGCGCGCACACGGCGACCAGGTGCGTCAAGGTGCGAGACCGGCTTCTCATAATGCATCCTGAAGCTCCACCTCGATCTTTCGCATCACCGCTCACCGGAGGCAACCATAAATCTCGCGGCGCAATTTTCCCGTCGTTCATTTTCCTCGACGCGTTAACCCCGAGATCGCGTGCGATTTGCGCGAAATGCGATTCTAACAATGTCGATATGGGTATAAAACAGTTATCGCTCACGCGAGACGAAGTAAAACGCCGGTCTCGCGGTCAGGCCCGTGCGGTATCCTCAATGACACAATGTTGACAGTCGTAAGAGACGTATCGGTAAACGGCTGTTACTCCACGCAAGTTCTTTCAGGGGGAACCGAGAAACACCTCCCAGTATATCCTGCGTTTATTCTTCGTGTACGATCGAGTCCCCCACGTGGAAAATCTCACGTAGTTATTTCGCTTGTGTGAACTTAAAAAATCTCACGATGTTTATTCCGCTCGTACGAGAAACTTAGAAATCCAATGTAATTGTGCCGCTCGTACGAAAGAAAGTTTGAAAATCTCCAGTAATTATTCCGCTCGTACTCAAAATTGGAAAATCCTGCGTAATTATTCTGTTCGTACGAAATTTGAATATTTCACGTAATTATTCCTTGACTTCCGTGACAAAATTTGACTTGTTCCTTTTTTCGCTGATGCAACCTAACTTTTTTTCCGCGTACCATTATCTTGATGTGTAATTATTCCGCTCGTACGTAAAAACCGCGAAAGTATCTCACACAATTATTCCGCTCGTGCGAGATTTGAAGATCCAAGTTCGAGGCGAATCCGACCGGCACCGTTGCGCGATTGCACTGAGAGAAAAATATAGTTATATTTTCGGGGACATCTTTTTTCTAATTTTAACTGCAAAAATAGTAGTAACGACATGCACATAAAGTTATTATTATCTCTGACACAGTAATACTTACTCGAAAAATAATTTTCTCGACTATTTTTGCGGTTAAAATGGAAGGAGGACACTGTTGTCCTCGAAAATAACTGTATTTTTCTCTCAGTGTAGGAAGTTACCGTTTGCGTCGAGAATAGCGAGATACCGTAAAAGCCGGCCCCCCGGGGGCGCTTAGTCGCTAATGGGCAGTCATCGTCGAGAGAGGCGCCGGTAGCTTCCTTGGCCCGGTGATTATTCAACGGAAACACTCGACGGAAGAGGCTGCTTATATGGACCGATGCTCGGTGTCCCTTTTACGTCATCCCGATTCCGTTCGCAGACGTTCACGTGGGGCAACATGCAACTATTACACGCGCCGTGCGCGCTTAGTCTAAACGGATTCTCTCTCTCTCTCTCTCTCTTCCGCTCCGCGCGCTCTCCTCCGGAACACACGCGCCGCTCAAATGTGGAGTACTCGCGTGCGCGACGGTGGTGGGCGAGCGCGGTCTCGGTCGCCGGGAAAAACGGTCTCGGGCTCTCCTTACAGACGGAGGGGGATGGTAGTCGGCAGGGAAGGAGCGTAGATCCGTCGCGCGGATCTGAAAATGCTGAGAGACACCGCCGGTTCTCAGTCACGGTATCGCGTCCTCTCGGTCCGCTTCGACGACATCGACGTCGGTCGATGGGATCGTCGGCGTTACCCTCTTTTACCTCTACCTCCTTCTCCTTCTCCTCTTCCTCCTCCTCCTCTTCGTCTTCTTCTTCTGCTTCATCCTCCACCTCGGCGATTCTCTTCTCATCTCGATAGACGTCCCGCTCCTCCGCGAAAGTGCAGCCGCCGCCGCTCTTCCTCTTCTCTCGACGAAATTCGTAAATTCGCCGCGGCATCCCGCGAAGATTGACTCGGCCGATATTCATCTCAGGATATAGCCCTGTGCGAGTTCGAGCTTGCCACCGGTAGACCGGCCCCGGGAGAGGAGGTTTCTCTATGCGATCGCCGCCGGTGACTGTAATGCATGTAAACGAGCGGCTCTCGCTTGGGAAATAAGGGAACGTTTCGGCGACAACGCCGCCGCAGGACAACGGGAAGAGGGAAACCTGAGGAACGCTCACTGCAAGGTTGTTGCAGCGTTGTGCCTCGCGGCTACCTCGGCGTGACCATGATTTTGCGAACCTGTCTCTGCCTCAGCCTCCTCACGGTAGGATTTCTTACGGATTTCAAACGCTGCGGAAACTTGCGAATATATAACGAGTATCTGGGGGGAACCGGCATTCATAGTTGGATCTTACATTTAAGACCGTCTCAAGTTCATTCTTAGATGTTGTACGGCTTATTTTATTGGCTGCGAAATATTTGAAGATCAATTTAATACGGTCTTAAATATAACATTCGACTATGAATATCGCCCTAAGTATTAAGTGCATAAATCCAGTGCCTCTTTTTATGAAATTCGAATTAATTTGTACACCAACTATATTGAAAAAAGGATTTGGTAATAAGTACTAAAATTTGATGAATATTTTTGTCGACCAAATATTTGATTATTGCAACCAAATAATTCTGCCCTATATACTAAATATACAATATACTATTACTACAGTACTGTATACACAGTACGTGGAACTAAATTATTTGGTTGCAGTAATCAAATGTTTGGTCGGCAAATTTTAGTACTTATTGCCGGATCCTTCTTTCAGTGTATCATTAATTTTGAAGCGGCTCTGATATTAGCATTGAAACTGCTACCGGTGACATACCAAAATCGATGTCATCGACCCACCTGTGTGAACTTACATTCCATGCGATTTCGTGGGCGTTCAATTAATTGGCATTGACACTGAAATCTTACGATGACGCCGCTCTCCGAGATACTCCGTCGAGTGAGACACCGGATTCGCGAACTGACGACTGTGCGCGGTCTCTTGAGTCATCAAGTAGCAAGCGGCAAGTGAATCGTCAAAATACCGATGTGTAATCTCGCTATTTTCACGATTCGCGGATTAACTCCGTGAAACGACATTGACATTGGCACTGGAAATCCTCCCATGTCGGTTAGTTGCTCGCGGTCGAACTGAGACTTGATTATCATACGAATGTAAGCTCCCACTTAATCCGATGAATGCAGGTGGAGCTGAGTTAGACATGGTTATTGAAAACCTGGTAAAATTTGGCATATATACTAGAGGAAAATCACCAAAACCAACATGTCATTTTGTATTTAAGCCCTGTTGAAGATGTAAAATTAAAATTTATGCGCACGGAAGCAAATTAGTAACACTTCTCTACCTAAATACATGATAGTCTTACGAAAATTCTTACACATTTCCTTGCAAATAATTATTTTTTAAAACGTCGAAGATTGACGCTTCTAGAAAATAAATCCCAAAACCGATATACTTATAGGAAATTATCATAAAAGATAAAAATAAATTTTCCTCCGTTTTATCAACATTGAAAAAACAACTCCGTTAATGTAATTAGTTCAGAGACCAGATGCATCTCGATTGCGGGAACAGAAAGAGTAGAAGATTTCTATTCGCTTTATTGTTCCCATTTATCTCAACCGAGTTTTAACGCGGCTGAATGTTCACACGAACGTTCTCAGTCGCAGCTAACAGAGACATTATTTCGCCGAGTTTTCATATCTTGTCACCGAGTTTTCATCTGGATCCCATTCAGTCGCAGAAACTAAATATTTTTCCATCCTACATCTAAACGCAGCTCTTCTAATTTTTTCAAGCACGACCTCGCGCCTTTGCAGCTCGTTTCCGACGCGCGCGTGTGCAGCAGTTTCGCGCTGCAGAGCTCCAGCCTGAAAAATGCCGAAAACTGAAAGCGTCGAAGACACCGGCATTTACGAGAGAGCGGTGCGCGATACTTTACATATATTTAACGATGACGGTACGTTCGTTCGTGCGTTCGCTCGCTCGTTCATTCGCTCCCCCGCTCGTTTGCCCGCGCAATTACTCGCGAATCGGCTCGGCCGTTGATTGTTCGTTCGTCGAGCACCGATTTATCACGCCCGCGTTCGCGTCATCATCACGCTCATGCGAGATTTAAGCGCAGCTCGATGAAAACCTGACACCCGCCGGTGATTTGTGGAAGGCGCTCATGAAAGTCTCAACGTCGTCGTCGGGGATCCAACGCTCGTAAAAGAGAGGCGCGCACCGGCTGTCTCTACCTACTCCGGGAGAGTTCGACGCACGGGTGCGCGTACCGTGAAGATCGCGTGAACAGAAGTGTAACAGAACTGGACGCTCGTTCTCCCTTAATCTCTCTCTCTCTCTCTCTCTATCGATCATAGGTGATCTACGAATGAAAATACGCTTCTTTTTTTATCGGGTTCGCGTGGAATCAGCGGCGCCAGTCTTGCACTTAAAGTGACGTGACGATCGATTAATAACATTCGAGTCGGAAGATCGAGTAGCTTCGTTGCGCGTATGGCGCGCCAAACACGGCTGTCCCATTCCGGACATATCTACTCGCCCAACTGCGAGGTCCGCACTCGACGTCGACGCGAGAGAAACCGGAGGCTGAATTTATCGCACGAAACACATTAACATTATCCACACAAGCTGGGAGAACTATCTTCCTGGGAACAAGACTGGTGGTCGAGTGACAACTACTTTCCAAAGTGGAGAACAAGAACGACTTTTTCTCGGCGATTTACATCACGGATATTAATTGAAACTACTGTGCGAGAGAGAGAGAGAGAGGGAGAGAGAGAGATCTTAGATATTAACTGCACTATAATTAACTTGTTGAAGGCATCTTGTCTGATAATGATATCCGTTTCTCGCGCGCAACGATCTCAGATGCATCTATTCTGTCGCCTTTATTATTGTTAATTATTTATCACCGTATTAAAGTGCGATTACAAGTTACAATCGACCATAATAAGTTGTTATTAAAGATTAAATGATTAGAAGAGCACACAGAGAGAAACTCAAGAGCTTGAGATGCGCTTTTTAGAATTTGACGCATCGGTTATGTAATATCATTAACGACCAGATGGGCGAACAGCTATTAGCTATTAGCTTTTAGCTATTAACGTACGAATGGGATTAGAAGCAGACGCCGATCCATACGAATCGAATACGTGTGAATACACTGAAAAACAAATTTCTGCAAATTTAACAAATTTTATCGCATCCAAACAAATTTCATCTTTATGCTTCAAAGAAACTAATGTTTCGATCAAAAGCACAATTGTTCAACGAATATGTATCTTTATCTTAAATCAAAAATTTGTCTGAATGAAGAACGATTTTCTCATAAAGAAATTATTTGTTTCATTTTACATATTTATAGTGACCAAATAATATTTTATTTGGTCGAAAGATATTATTTTAAATAATAGCGTTCTTTCTGTTAAATGATAGTTTTTTTGAATAAAATTTTTACTCAAATGATATTTCGTATATGTTGTTTCCATGAAACAAATTTTACTCAAATAAATGGAAATACTAAATCTAAAAAAACTTTTTATTCCGTGTACTATCGTGAAAGCGACTTACATAACATGCTTTTAATGTCGAAGCAGTCGGTGTTCAGAATGTGTCACTTCTAACTTGGTGCGTGCGACGAGTCCGAGTTACGGAATCGATGACGAAGCGGGCCGTTCGAGAGGAATTAGAAAAGGATCGTGCCGCGTGCCCGTCGCAAATCCTCGCGCCGTAAACACGCGACGGCTGTTACGGCGCGAAGGCAATTAATATCGCGCGCTCCGAATATCAATTAAGCAGGCGCGCGTTCATGCGAAGGTTGCGCGTTCATGAAACACCGACGCTCCTCGAATGCCGAGCAACAAGATCGCGTGTTAGTCACACGCATACCAGACGACGTGCGGATAAGCGCGAGATGCCACCGATGATGCCGCGCCTTCGCAAACCGCGAGTGCGACACATAGTTTTCAGATGCTTCGCAGGCTTGACGTATTCATCTTATGAACAACGGCGCGCATTGTTGTTGCCGATAAGCGGATGTTGTTTCGATCGTTTCGGTTAATGTGTAGGAGTACGTGGGAGGTAATGAAAAACAGACAGCAATGAAAAGCAGAGATAAATATTTGATCTGATTCGAAGGAATTCAGAGACCGGCTTAAGTCTCCGAAACAATCGCTATGACTCTGTCTTTGTTTAATGACGTCAGGAGTGAGAAAACGCACGCCGACATATTTTTTATGTTATACTTTCAAATAAAAAGATGTATCCACGAAATAACATTTGTGATCGCGTTAGCAAACTTATAAAATTGGACGAATACTTGTTGACTATTTATTTATTGATTGTTCGAGTAAGAAAAAAAAGTGTTCATCAATTTTCACAAATGTGCTGAGTCGATCAAGACAATTTTGTGGATATATCTTTTTATTCGCCGTATTTTCATTACGCTAATTATTTAATTAATTACGCAAGATAATTTATCTGTATAATTACTATAGCTGAATCAGTTTTAGTGCTTTTCCTCTATGAATTTTCAAAATATAAAGCGGAAATTCGTGGAGTAAAAAGTAAAGAAGAAAGAAAGAGGAGGAGGATAAAGAATATCTGTCTCTCAGAGACGCACGTTAGTATTCTAGAGTTAATCTTAAATTAAGTCATTTGGTTAGATTAAAATTCTTATTTATAATTGAGCAATTCGAAAAGCGTTACGGTTGAATCTTGGGGATGATCACAATAACATCTGTTCGTATTCCGTACCAATACAGTCGATTATTCCAAATTGATTATTTTGAGTTCAGATTTAATCGAAAGTCCAAATTGACTATTTGGCAAATTTTCCTTGAATATATCTGTACGTTTTTCCCTTTCATATGTGCCGCGTGGTTGACGCAAAAAGTGTTACGCGTGCCGCGAGTTCTTTCGTATAAACATGCGCGATGAATTACGAGCGGGAAATGTGTCAATGCCGACTTAATTAGCCGAATCTGGAGAATGATCGAGCCGGGGAGGTCTCGTTAGCTTAGTTTTCTCTTATCTAAATTAATTACCCGCGCGCAATTAGCGCTTCCTTCTCATAAACACCGAATTCACTGCCGGCGCAAATCCAATGTCGCCAATCTCATAGCTTCATTATAATCCCCCGATTATATCACGCGATTAGAGGTACGTGGGAACCGCGGAGTGTGGGTGTTTTTAATGAGAGTGGAGCTCGCACGAGCGCGCGCGCGAGCGAGAGAGGATGGGGCGGCGGAGA